AGAGTGGGATGGAGTCGTTTGTGGGGGCATAATTTCGGCCTGTGGGGTCCCTCCGTGTCCACAATCGACGAGGGGAGGCGAGATGAAGGGCGGTGGCGCAACGGATGCACGGCCTCGTTGCCCGCGACCCTTCGCCTTTCGTCTCGCCCGCCGCGATGACCCTGGGTTTTTCTTGTGTTTTGGTGGAGCTTGGAAATGACCCTCGGCTGGCCTTCGCGCTGCGTCTATGCCGCCGTCCACCCCAAGTGACACATGTTTATAAGGACGCGGGCGTTCTGCGCAAATGCACGACAACACTCTCTCTCTCTCTCTACCTCACGCAGTTTCCGCAACCCGCCGCGCTTGTTCTGCTTTTGGTCGCAGTCATCTGCGCCACTCGAGTTGCCTTCGTAGCCTGCATCCGCGCCTTCGTCGCCATCGTCGCCATCGAGCCTTTTTGTTCAACATCGTCGCCACGTCCGTCGCCAACGTAGTTCTCTTCACTACTTGCGTCTTCTTCACAGTCGTTTTCGGCGACATTCTCCTCGGCGAGCACGTCTTTTCGCTCGTCGTCTTGACTGCTATCGTCGCCTTTCCGTAGATCCTCGTCTCCTTCGTCCAGATTGTCATCGTCACCGCGGGTGCGTCTTGCGCCATGTCCTCACGCGCTTCCGCACGCGGCAAGGCCGCCGCCAACCTCTCACAACAATCGGCGACCCGGGAGAAGAAGGGCCGCCACATGGCCAGCAAGAAGAGGAAGGTCCTTGAAAGCGCCCCGGCACATGGAGGTTACGTGCTGGATGAGGAGTGGGTGCCGGAGGACGTGGCGACGCAGGAGGGGACGGATTTCGAAGACTCTGACGACATGCCATTGCAGCGGAAGTCGTCCAGGCGGGGGACTGGCGGCATCCGCATAGACGACGCTGGCAAAAGACGACGCGCAGGAGGGCGGCCAGCACCGGAAGACGTCGTCGACGTTGACGCCGCGACGAGAGCCAAAGAGGGCGGGGGAAATCCCGTGCCACTGCCACGTTTGACTCCACCAACCGACGCGCAAGAGGGCGTGGTTCGCTTGCAGACACCACTGACACCACGCTCGAGGACGGCTGCAGACGTGGCTTTGTCGGGGGGGCCATCACAGGCGGCGGGAGGGGTGAGGGCAGGCGGGGCAGCGGG